ACAATACATTATTTGTCTGGACCCACCACTGCCATGTTGAACAGGGGTGCTTTCATTTCAAATTAACTTTATGTTGGTGCATGAAAAGCTGTAGTACACGAGGGAGTATAGTGCTAGAAAGACTGCTCAATAGATCCACCTTTAAAGAAACAAAGTTCAAAGACTGCAAGTGGATTGCGTTGATGAATTATTCCATTACCAAAGCAGGAGTCCTCCCTAATAAGGAAAGATCTCTGATGACAAGAAGCACCAGACGCAGAATCAGATTTTAAATTGTTTGAGAGAATAGGGGTCCTCATAAACCAATTTTCATCGTGGAAACGCAGACGATTTTAGAACTTGCCGAGATTGTATGTAGGCACATTTGTGGTCTGAGAGCCAGATTTAGATATCACCTGATAAACTTGTTGACACTTGATCACCACCTTAGTATTTTAGTGACCACACAACGTGCCGCTCATATACTCGGACGACAGATGGGGCATGTACACGCTGCATCATGATTTCGACAATAGAGAAATAAAATATGTCGGGCCTGAGGACCGGTCTGCACATCTTTTGCCTGCAATTTTTACGAACACGCGGCGCGCCTTGAGGTCTCCTGTTTTCGGTCTTGACTTGGACAAAGCGACGGACCTGAGCTCATATTTAACATTTCCACTTGGCGTATGATAGTGGAGATCATCTATGTGTATCTTGTTTGGCGCTGTAAAGTTGAAAGGCTAATGGTGCACCCCTGCCATCTCAAGGAAACAAGTTCAACGTATCAACCGTCAAGCTAACTAGCACAATGTTCTCCGTTATTTCAAGCATGACTCACACGGCATACTTAGAAGCCTCTTCAACATCGTACCACCTTTGTCTGGTACTTTGTAGTCTTTTCTCGTCAACCTTCCATCTGTTCGCCTTGCTGGCAGGTTGACTACCCTGCAAGGCACGACTGATGAAATTTAATCTCTGGTCGAAACTGTTGGAAGGACACAGGCTCGACACCAACTTGGCTTATTTATGCTTTTTTTCCCGAGTCTACGAGCTCCGGGTTGACCGCATCTTTGATGGCTTTCAGGAGCTGCAAGCCCTTCTGCAAACCTGTTCCGACAAGACAGGATAAGCAATACCTGGCCTGACTAGAAGGTATATTGCATGGGTATAGCTCGGGTGCATGCACCGTTCCTTGAATGATAAGCTTGGACTCATCCAGCTCTATATTGTGCTTTGCGCCTCGAGGCTCTTACAGAGAAAGAACCGTCTGCAGCCCAGAAGAAAAACTAACAACGCTCGGTCCCGGACTATGTCTGTAGGCTTTTCTTGTGTCAAAGCGAGCTTATACTTATTACTAAGTAAGCCTCACCGCGATGGTTAATCCCACCGTTGGGGTAGCCCAATGCGAAGATTGACGAACGTTCGGAACAGGCCGTCTTACTTCACACTGCATCAGCATGTACAGGAACTTGGCGTCTCGCTCAAGTTCTCGCAGTAAACTTCACGCGACTAATTCAGTGGCGTTTCTTTCAAGATACCTTTAGAGTGCAAACAGATCACAACTGGATCATTGGGAAGGAGTAAAGTTGTCGCAGTTTGCGTTTTCAATACAAATGCCGACCGATACGAAGCCGGGCTTCGGGCTTCGGAAATGTGATGCCAGGAGTAAGTCGTGTTTTAGTTCCGCCGTGGCGTTTTGAATGTGGACCGAAATACTGTGGGCTTGCACCACCTTCCTTGCCAGTCAGGTGACCAGATAGGTTCCGAATGACGAACGACTTTCGTTCCGAATACGCACCTGAAGCACCCAGCTTGTGCAGACCGCTTGTGTTTGATTTATATAGAAGGCAACGCGTCGGACTGAAATTGCATCACTATCAGTGTGGCCTTCGCTTTCTATGACCGCAGCTTATCTTCCTTTCGGCACCTACAAACCTACTGATAACACTGCTCCAATGACATACCTTGTCCACAGGCACTGAAGCAGGACTATCAGCTCACATGCCCTCAAACTGTTTCACGGGTCTTGGAGCATTGCATGTGGCTGTTATGAGGATATTTTTCGCATTGTGCTTGGCCATGATTATGGCGAATGGAAGGTATGTCCAAGAGCAATACAGCAGCAGATACTTTAGCGAAAGGAATACCCCGAGAAGCAGACACTCGGAGGTTTCCTTTCATGTTTAAGACATACCAGCTCATATTTTGTATCTTGGAGGACGTCGACCTGCCCTTCGAAAGCAATGTCGCCTTCTGAATAATATAGATATTGATGGTGTTCGGATCTTGGGAACCCTATCACAGTAGACCAGGAGTAAGACGGTGTCTACATGGGCATCTCAAGTTTTGTGCTACGGTGTAATCAAAACGCCGAAGTCCTACAGTATTGTAATTATCTCTCTCGGTACTCACTATGGACACAAACAGTGCTGAAAGTCAGCAAACCGAGTTTGTATGTTGATGGCATAAAAACACAATACCTAGGAATTGATTAGAATCCGAATGATTCGGAATTTACTTAAGATGCCTGGTGCTCCCGACTGATTCATGTTCATCAGCCATAGGCGTTTTGTTACAGGCGTTGCTTTAAAATTAGATGCGTGTTTTCCCTTCGTTTCCAGTAACTTCTGTCCCATAGCTGTAACAAAGATAGACCATGTCAAGTCTTCTCAAAATCTTCACAGTATCCTGCTACACAATATCATAACGCTAAGTGAAGTAGAAAGTGCTCAGTGTCTATACAACAGCAAGCGATCATGGTACGGCATCGAAGGAAAGCATTAAATGCGCTGATCGGTGTTAAGGACAGCTGTAAACTCACTTTTGCCGCGGTGTTTCCGTTAGTTGTTATATAGTGATTAGGCTTCTCGGAGGAGCGAACGAACAGCTGGCCATGACGATTCGGATTTTCTCAATCCCGTAAGCAGTACAAAATACAATGAGCGACTTCTTGGATGCTTCTTCGGCACAAGTTCTATTCGTATCCATAGACGCTGATTGTGTTGGTTGTAATATGTAGAATCCGACATAATTGAAGAACACTTCATCGTCGGTGACCGTTTAATGTTCAATGTATATGAGCGTCTTCGATCAACATGTGTTGATGGTAAGCGCTAGTTGCGGCTTTGCTTGTGACGTTCAAAACGATAAGATCAATAAAAAGAATGGAAGTATGCCAACACAAGACTTCCCCTCTTACCGTTGTCTATACATCGCGACAGTAAGAAGGGTCGGAATCACAGGCGTGCTAAAAATAAAATAAGCGGAATCATGCTTGGATCCCAGCGCGGAGCACTTCCAAAGTCGATAACACTAATTAGGTTACTGAAAAAATTTCTATCCTTTTCAGCTTTTCCAGTTTAAAGAAACGAATTGACGCGATGCAAGAACACATCAGGAACAGCAAGGTTTCCTACATTCGAAGAAACGTAAACTCATGTAACCTGGGTCAAATTTTACTGACATCCTTCACTGCAAGATCGATGGCACTTACCTGTAAACACCCCTGGCGTCTCTTTCATGCCTCTCTATCATCACGGACAATTGAACAGCGCCAATGGTTAGATGTAGTGTGGCCAAGTGCGTTGTTTATCCGGAATGCAACGGATAATCCTAATTTGCTATAGCACGTCAGGTCCCAGCGCCACTCAAGAAAGTACCCCTCTGTTGTCCGGGGACCTCAAAATTGCTTGATGCTGAGTACTGTTTCTCGAACAATGTAGATGCAATACATGCTGTACTTCCCGCTATTATGAAAAGTTCGCGATCCAGATGTAAAATCAGAGTTCCTTTTGGATGGATTAGGGACTGGCGTGGTATCCATCCGTGGTTTATTTGATCCACACCACGGATAAGGTGAACCACGGATGGAATTCCCACGGTTACCAGATGAACCGTGGTTACCGTACCACGGTTCAATTCCCGTATATAACATTTAGATTTTTTATGCTATTTTGTACTTATATCACACAATTATGCAAAATTAATCATATACAAGCTAAGATAAAATATTACATGGGTATTTAAATGAAAATTATACAAGAAATTAATTTTTTTGTTTTCCATAAATATGAAAAAAGAGAAATAAATCAAATTTCAATCTATTCCCATCCTCTTAGCCTCAATAATATTAACTGCATCCTTGTAATTCCTGAATAAAGGTGTTCCATCCTAAGATCCAACTGCCATTTGTGCTCTGAATGTATCTGATGAGGTGTTATGTTGTATGAAATTGATTTGACAATGACCAACAGAAAACACTTACTCTGTATCAACAGATGTTGCTTAGTAATACAAAATGCGTTAAAAACTGTTATCTTCAGTAGAGAATATTAAAAAATACCTGGAGCTGAGCAAAAATCCAGACCCATCCTAGCTAAACTAGGGTGCTTTAGCTTACAATTGGCCCAGTATTGAATAATACTACTAGCAGCTTGGATTGCTGAATCTGGAATTGGTGGTTCATCTAGATAAACATGAATACTATCTGCTAATCTAATAGGTGCTGATAGACAGCTGGGCATATAATGAGAGCAATTCTATAATAAAGAATATTAGTATTGTTAATATAATTAATGTGAAAAACTTACAATTGGTTGAGTAGTTAGTAAAGCCAGTTCAGATGAAGTTGCTTGGAATTGTCAGCATTACTCATCCTAGTAACAGACAGTGTTTTCTAAATCCTTTGTCTAGGTCTCAATAGCTGCACTGCAGGAGCTTCTACTGCTGGCCCTATACAAAGAGCTTCTTGTGATGGCTGTGATCAGAACATGAGAGAAGAAGCATCCAGAGTAACTGGCACTCTGGTCATGTTGTAATACTTCTCATAGGGAAAATTTGAAAGGAGAGGAGGCTGATCCTCAGACATAGGATAATTATGATGTAGGGTTTGTGTTTCTTTGAGATTTTAGCAAGACAGACAGGCAAATGAGTGAGTAACTATATTTTGTTATGCTACTGTGACATGCAACACTGGAAACCACGCAAACCACGCAAACCGTGGGAATTTATCCACTGGTATGGATACTGTGGGAAAGTTCATCCGTAGTATGGATACCGTGGATCCCCCTATCCACGCCAGTCCATCCGATGGATTAAATCAATCTTTGGGTTCTGATGGGCATTGTCGCGAGCATTACTCGGCATCCCAGAGCACAGGGATCCCGTCCGTAGTTTGGACTGTGTTAGGTGCATAATATATGCACATTTTGTTGTTTGCCGCCAGTCATCACGATAGGAAGGACAAGGGTAAGAGTCGAACAATCAAGAACCTTGAATACAGGAGACCGTCAGAATTCAGAAGTCTGATGAATGTAGAAAGAGTACTAATTCATAGAGACAACGGAAATATGCCGGCAGATTGACCGAGAGTGTTAGACGCTACATACGTTGGCGAAGTACTTCAGCACGACACTTCAATGGAGCCAGCAAGCGATGGAAACCTTGTAGTCGCAACGAGGCCCGAGAAGCTCTACTTACATGATAAACAGATGCATCACGTTTATTCGTATCGGATCGTCGACAGGCGTGTAGATAAGCGCCCGAGAAGTGTCACACACTGGCTTTCATATCACGGCGAGGCAGCAGTCGCGCAGCAACGTGTCGGAACTCTGCGAAAGCGCGGTATTAGGACTTGAGAAAGAGTGGAACATCTGTTTTAATATAAGCATATGCACATTATCGAAGCTTCGAGAGTCCTTAAGGCAACTGACAGTGGTAGGTATACCTCGACAACAATCCAGCAATCGGGATGCGATTGCTACGAAAGAACGTCACCCCGCACTTCTTAAGATGTTGATTTGGTGCCTGTACAACCCGTCTATCTTGGGGAACGATGGTTCCTGAAGATGTTCGCATACAACTATGAACTCTCTCCAATTTAACTCGTGACTTTGAAGGGGGGAGGGGATCATCAACCAAATAGCACATGACGGGCGCCTGATTGTGCAATCCTGATGACCTGACGAAATACTTCAGCAATACACTTCGCTGATGCCAGAACACAATTCAAATCCTATAATCGTAGGAATAGTCCGAATAGTCATACTTACATGATAAGTCGGTACAAGTATTTACTAGTATCAGATTACCGACGAAGGTGTGGATAAGCACTCAAAACAACCATGATTCACGCTGCATGGCGATAAACGCAGCTGGTGTATCAAATATGCGATGCGCATCCCGACCCCATTCGATATGCTTATACTCACACAAGATCACGCAGGATTCGTCAATAAGCCCATCTCCCATCTCCGGTACGTATGGCAGATACATAGTTAGAGGGAATTTCGATGAGTTTACCGAAGAAGTCGAGAGAGCTGTCGGAAGAGCCTCGGTGGCCTGTAATACCGGTTGGCATGGGAGGATCTTGGAGCTCGGGAGGTTGTGTGAAAAGGATGTTGGCTATGTGGAAGAGGGCGAGACACAAGGGTTCTCGGGAGGTAAGGGTCGTGGGTTGGGAATTCCCCCCGCGGTGGACAATGCCGGTGTCTGAGTCGATCAGGCGGTAGCCCATTGCTTAAAAAAAGTAACATCAGTATCACAATATGGAGTGTCAAAGCATTTTGGAGGATGAGAGGAAGAGTAAACGACTTAAGCTAAGAAAGGATGGCAAACGTAAGAGCTGTTTACCGTTGTTGCAATCCGAATAGGATCCTAATCCGATCCAACTCTGCGCAAGTCTGTTAGATATTTGCGGTGAGTCATGAGCAGAGTTAGAAACAGTTTAAGAAAAAGACTGACCTCAGCGTGACAATTATGTAGATTGCTCGATGAGAAGTCGATGATCTTGAGTGAGCCGTTACTACATCGGACAACATTTCGAGGTTCTAAGTCGTCATGATAAACCCCGAGTCTGTGAAGTGCCGATATTGCATTGTACAATTTATGTCTATAGGGTTATTCAATAATGTTAATTTTACAGACGTATTGATTAACTGCTATACTCACCTCTGATCGCCTGTCAATTCTGGCCAATCATCGCCGTGACTGAGTACATCCCCTTCATAATCCATGACCAATGCCAGTGTTTGCTCCGTTTCGAAAAGTCCATAACACTGCGGTACGATCTTCTCACTCTGCGGAAACGCTATCGGCCATCTCCGTTCGATTTCGCGATAAATGTTGAGCTCTTTGCGTAAACGTTGAAGAGAGCCCCTTTCCCCTTCCGTCTCACCCTTTGTAACGACCTTAAACGCGTATTTCCGACGTTTCAATGACCCAACGTGTTCATCCACTTCGGATATTGCTTCGTAGGCAATTCCAGTCGAGCCTTGTCCAATGCTGCGCTGGATGCGCAACTTGATAGCGCCTGTGCCCAAGCTCGGAAAGCCGTCCGTATCTGCAGCATGGAATTTGATCCAACTAGCGTCTGGTGTGACTTCTTCTGACCACGCAATCTGTAAATTGCGCGATTAAAATCAAAATATTGAATGATAAATCAGAGATCTTACAAGGAAGCTAGTAGATACAGATGCTGAATGACCTTGTTTCGTCATAGACCGAGTCTTTTGCCGTTTCCCCTTATAAGAAGGGTCTTGCTGTCTAGATCGTGTAGATTTTTTGTCCTTTGGAATGTCTCGAAGCGGCACCTGCATGTTAGCAGTGGAAGGGACATCGGTATTTGTCGTAATAGCCAACATCATCCCCAACAGCGCGCGGAATGGACGGGTGTTGTTGGATTGCTTTTCGACGGTTGAATAAGTGATATATGTCGGGTTAGGCTTCTTGCCGCAATGAAGTCGTAAGAAAATCCATTTTGTATAGCAGGTCAACGCAAGCCAGTGTGCCTTGTGTGAGCCCATATAAAAGCAGGCCTGGAAAGATTAATTCAATAATGGAATGTTTGAGTACCTGTACACTGCACAGACTTTATTTATCATTTTCTCTTCATTTGATTTCGCCATATTCTGAACGTCTATTTGGAAGCCCGGTATATCCGGAACAAAGTACATGGCCTCGGTATTGTTAAAGACACGTGGAGACTTGGCCTCAACCAGGCCCTTCTTGCCATTCGACGTAGAAATCTGGAAGTCCACCCTAGATTTGTAGTTTTGCGGACTGGATTCCGGGTAAATTTTAATGTAGTGGTCGAGTGCCATCATGGTTTGATCGAGTAAAGTCAGAGGCATGCTACGTAGGAGTTCGCCAACCTGGCTGACAGTAAATATCGAGAAAATGGAATTCGTTCTTGCGGTGGAATTCTGTACTCACATCTGGCTCCCCACGAATCACGGAAGGGATCCTACGATTGCGTTCGACTTCTGATTTGATATAATGTTCAAATTTTCCTGCCAGCAAACTTGGTATGTCCCTTTGGCCAAGGAATGCATCGAGAACGTCGATCAAGGAATCGACCATGCACGAGTCGTGATGGGCTTCGGTAACTTTCCATTTGTACCGCAACTGGGTAGCTTCAACTTGATTCACGGCGCTTGAGCCAGTCTGTATACTTTTGTCGATTGGACAGTAGAAATGCGCATGATCACGAAGGTAATCTTTGAAAGAGTTCGGACTGTCCATGGCAGGCGAACAGGCGAGTCAGTGTAACTGGGGGTCGGCATTTCTAACGTGAGACGCGGCCATTCCCACGGTCAATGCCGTGATGGCGGCACGTATTTTTGTGTCCAGAGTAGCCCTGCTCAATTCTTGTATCTGACGAATATTTACCTCGGCAGAAGGAATGTTAGGGAGAGTAGATCTAGGGTCTACTTCCATTTTGAGTAGGATCTCTGTGCGTGCCTTAGAAACAGCAGACACACCTTGAGGAGGTGTATTTCGTGTATTTTGCACGTCAGAGAATGAAACTAAGAGAACGGCTGGTCCGGCAGCCTTACATAGATCTAAGACATGAGTGTAGGTATAGATAATTGTTAGAATAATTGAGACACACACGAAAACATGCCCTGCTACCACCATCTAGCCAAGTTACAGCATATTCTGAAAATATTTGGTCTACTTGTCCTGTTAGATGCTGAAACTGATGAAGAGGCTTGGGAAGGCCTTATTTTCATTTTAATTGCATATCAACTTCGACCACAAAGTGGGCCAAGAGGCTGATATACAGCTGTCAAATCTGATGATTACATGTATAAACTGTTACACCATTATTCTACTAGGTGGTTTAAGTCTCATCTCAGGTATGTAGTTAACATATAAAATATTGGTCTGTAGGCTCCATGTTGACAGTGAGACACAAGAAAATAGAGCAGAAATGTGCATTTTTCTTCAAAATCTCTATATTAGGTCTGCTTACTCTATTTACACTTTTGATTGTCCGATGGAATGATGAATCTGCGCTACTTAAGGTGCTCATTTCTTAGCTGTATTTCTCTCCCTGTATTTA